GGACAGTCTGTTGCTGTTGGATCGAGCCACTTCCTCCCGCTTCAGTTTCTGGAAGGGAGCGCAGAAACGGACTTTCTCTTACGCCGGGAAGAGAGGAGAGAAATATTCCCTGTCCCACTAGCTGACAACTGCCTAAAAACCTGAGCGTAGACACTGACTTCCGCGCAGCCCAGGAGTCCTGGGGCGGCAGAGGCCAGGCTCCGCTTGTGCCTTTTAAGTCTCCAATTCCTTAAACAGTAAAAGTGTGCTGCCCCCGAGTCTGTCCGTCCTCCAGCCTGGGGAGAGGCTGCCGTGGGCAGGATCTGGGTGGGCGCATGGTGGCCTATGACGGGGGCTCTGACGACGGCTGGACGTTCTGTATGGTGCAGGAAAGCCCCTGGCGCCCAGGCAAGCTTTCCAAATGCCAATCACAGGGGTAGGGAGCGTGAGTGTCACCACCGTGACTGCAGGTAGCAGAGGTTACCAGCATTTAATGCATCTGTTAACCCTCTGGTGCCAGGGACCCGCACCGTCTGGCCCTGCAATTACAGCCCCATGGAAATTCTATTATACATTGTGCCTGGACTTTCAGATGCTGCTGTGACGATCTTTATAACCTACACGTCACACTGATGGAGGGACAAGGCTTACAAGGTAACTGCAGTAAAAGGTTCCCTTTGGGTCTGCAGGCTGGTGGCAGGACTGTTGGTTTGGGGTCTGGCTCCATCAACACCCTGTCATCTTCTCATTCTCAGTAAAGAGAAGGCCCCACACCCTGATGTAGTTGTGGGATTAGGTGCTGTGGAGTCGAGTACGGCTGATAGTGACCTGCGAACAACAGATCTGACCCCTGTCCTCTCGTACCGTCCTCCTCATCTCTGATACACTTAAGCCTGTTGCTTCAGTCACTGTCAGTCCATCTCACTGAGGGTCTTCGTCTCTCTTGCTGACCCTCCACCTTTCCAAGTACAATGTCTCTTTCCAAGGAATAGCCTTTCCTAACAACATGTCCAAAGTATGTGAAATGAAGCTTCTCCATCCTTGCCTCCAAGGAGCAAGCTGGCTGTCCTTTGCCCGAGGCATAGCTCTTTTGGCACTCCAAACCCAGGGCATCGATTCTTCTTCTGTCATCTTTAGTCATTGTCCAGCTCTCAGGTGCTAAAGCAGATGATTGAAAACACCATGGCCTGATCCGGTGCACCTCAGTCTTCAAACTGACACCATTGCTCCTCACTAATTTGGAGAAGTCCCTGACAATGGACTTGCCCAATGCAATGTTGAGGCTGGTTATTATTGGGAGATCTGGTGGCTTCCCTCGCAACATAGAAACCTACATTAGCCATTTTAAGCCCCTGTTCATAGAAGCCATTAAAGAATTCCTTTTTCCACTATATTGTTATGGTACTTAAAGTAGACTTTCAGAATAATAAAAAAAAAAATTAAAAATCATTTTCTTAAAAAAGAATAATACCAATGAATGAATGGAAATCCAAAGTCTCTATAAACGTTCACTAAAATTAATAAGATTTAAAAAAAATACTGACATTTTCTAATCCTTTACCGTTCTTTTAACATTTAAACACTTTACAATAAGATAAATTAAAGAATCTTTCTATTTAAAATACTAACAAACAGCCTATTTAAAAAGAAAAGAAAAAAGACTAATATGGGGGTTGGGAGAAAATCAAGAAAAGACGAGATCAGTAATGAACACTGCACTAGAACAGATGAAGGAAGAACTGTTTAAAAGGAATATATGAATTTGTTCTTGAAAACAATGTATTCAAGTTTTGTAAATAAACTAGTAGAAAATTTTTAAAAAATTAAAAAAGAAAATAAGAATACAATGACTTCTCTCTCCTCTTTTCTATCTCTTTAAGAGTCCCTATTTGAAAACCACACACTGCATATTTGGTGTTTAGAAGGAGGTGGTGGGCCAGCTCTGTGTGGGGTACCTTCATGTTACATTAGCAGCACTAAGAAGACTGGCAAAGAGAAGCTTAGCCAGGCTTAGACAGTGCCAACCTGCCGTGATTGCATCCTTGAGTTTACCAAGTTATCATGATCACCTGTGCTTCTCAAGCTTCTGATTTACTGTGTACCTTCCAACGTCCCAGCTTAGAAGTTTGGTGTTTTATTTTATTTCCCTTTTTTTGGGAATTGTCCCAGTTCCCATTCTCTGAGGCTTTGTATAAAGCACTCTTGGCCGTAGCTGAAAGAGGGAACTCTCTGTCGTTTTGGTTGCCTTGATCACACTTGACTGACAAGACAGTGACAGCTTGATGATGCTTTCCGGCATACTTAGGATAAAAGCCCTTACAATGTGGAAATGAACCCTGGTGGCACAGTGGTTGAGGGCTGGGCTGCTGATCAAATAGTCGGCAGTTCAGACCCACTAGCTGATCCCAGGGAGAAAGACATGCCATTGCTTTTGTAAAGGGGCAGCCTTGGAATCCTGCGTGACAGCTGTACTCTGTCTTGTGGAGTCACAGTGAGTTGGAATTGACTCCATGGCCATGGGAGAGTGTACAGTGCTCCTCACAGATCAAGATGCGTAGCTTGAGGGTATCAAGAATCAGCCAAACAGGAGCCACATGTGCCAACGCTGATCATTTAGAGCTGCGTTAGAGACCACCGTGGTCTGAGGTCGTGAGGGGCCATTGAGCTGTGACCACAGCGTGAAGGTACCCCATGTCCCATTCCATCAGCCGTACTACCTTCCATGCATAATTTAATGGGCTTATTAGTTATGCAAAGGCCTTCAGCAAACCTTTATGTCTTCGTAGATTATGGCCTAGACGATAAAAGGTGGGATGTGATGCTTTAGGGTCATTTTGGTGTCTGGGCACAATTCCAATCTTCAAGGGAAATAAAACACATACAGCTCTATACTTTCTCCATAGGTAACAATGCAGTAGACTCGATTTGCTATTAATACAGATTAAAAGTAGACTTTGGAGTAAGGTTCAATTCCGCTTCCAATTTCCCTTCTGATCTTCTTATACATAACATTTAGGGACCTTTTAACAGCCCAGGGTTGCTTTACAGTGTCTTATTCTTGATGCTTCCTTAAAGGTTTCTGGTTCCTATTCACAGGCGGCATATGCAAATATAGGTAAACACTATGCTGCCTCCCACGTAGTGTTCTGGTCACTAAATTACTCTTTGGGTGAACATGCTGTCATTTCTCTGACAAATACCTCTGCAACAGTTTGCAAAAATAAAAAAAAAAGTCTTCTTGCAACAGGGAGTTGGCTTGTCTCATTCACACAGAGCTGGATTCCCAGAGACTTCTCCTGACTCAGGTGGGGTGCTAACTTGAGTCACCTGTGGTCTCTAGCTGGCCATACCCACCCAAGGACTCTTCCCTTGGAGGGCTGCCATTGGGGTTCTTGGTGTGGATGTTGAGAAGGATAATGCATGAAAAGTGAAATGCCCTATGATTGCCTGAGAGAATCCCTGTGAAGCAGGAAGACATCTATCTTCATTCAACAACGAAGAGACTTGTTCTGTGTTCAAAGTCTACGACGAAATTGCTTGGGGACCTTGAGTGCACCACTTGCTTTCTAGTTATTTTCTTTTACAAAACAAGATGGTTCTACTGACTCCGTACCCTTTAGAAGTGGTTTTATTGTAGATTTTTTTTAAATGCTTCAACTAGTTTGAGTAGAAGCCTAATGTGGAGTTCGTTATTTCCATGAAATTGCTTAAAGTTGCCCTGATGTGTCATTTTAAAATTGCTTAGTCAGGGATCCCTGGTGGTGTAGAGCATTACAATTTGGGCTACTAACTGAAAGCTTAACAGTTTGAATCCACCAGGAGAAAGAGGAGGCCTTCCATAAAGATTTAAAGGCTTGAAAATCTGTTGGAAGTCGCTCACAAGTTGGAATCAACTTGACAGGAATGGGGTCGGGCATCTAGAATACTCTGCCCAATTCCTCGAGATTTCCAGACATCTGAATGAATCTCTACAAACAACGAGATATTTACTCCCTAAAGGAGAGGTCCCTGAGCCTAAAAACAGTGTTATTTTTGTTTATTTCTATAGTCTTAGCACTTAAAGAAAGTAAAGCACTCAAGAAATATTTCTTGAGTGGAGGAAGGAACCCATCAATGAATTAGCCAACTTCAGAAAGATCTATCTCCTTATTAATAATGAATGGGAATTTTATTGCAATGTTTTTATCTAGAGGGGAAATTAATATTCAAAAATACTTTATAAATGAGTGATCATTAAAAGGGTTTTCTTTAGCGACTGTGAGGCTCCATGGTAGATGGGAGTCTTGAAATGGGGCTAATTTGCCCCATTGCTATGGGCTATATCTGACACATTTTTATTGTGATGATACTATTATTTTTTTAAGGTGAATTCTTTTATGAACAGATTTTTTTCTTGATTACATGCTGAAATGGTTGCTGGTTTTTCTATTGATTACACGCTGAAATGGTAGTGTCGTTGTTGTTGAGTGCTGTCAAGTCAGAACTCATAGCTGACCCGCCAGCAGGTTTTCTGAGGCAGTTAATTACCCGGGAGGAGAGCGCCCCTCTCTCTCTCTCTCTCTCTCATGGAGTAGCTGGTAGATTCAAACTGCTTACCTTTGCCTTGGCAGTGCGGCTCCTTATCACTAGGCCACCACAGCTCTAGGCTGAACAAAACCTGTTAAAATTACCTCTCCACGGAGCGTTGGTGTTACAGGCTGGGCTGTCACCGAAGGCTCAGTTGCTGGAGGGATCCAGCTGCTTCAAGGATAAAGACAAGACAGCCTCCTTTTAAGATTTACAGCCTCAGGCACCTGCTGAGGCTCATCTTGAGTCAGAACTGATTCAATGCGGTGGACTCAGCGGGTCTTATCTCTTTACTTCAGTATCTGCTAGTAACTTTAAATTATGTATGGGACTCCAGTATGGTGCGCATGTTTATGTTAGGCAGTGTTACTCTTGACAGTTGATTAATGGACCACCAGTAATTACTCTTCTACTTGATATACATGAGCTATTGTTTTCTTTTTGTCTCTCTTCAGGCGCAGAAGCTGAAATCCAACGTCTCAGGCAGCACACACCTCTGCCTTTCTGATGTAAGTTACCCATGGACCGAGCTGTGGGGGCCACCGGGGTATATGGCCTGGCGTAACAGGCTCAGGAAAAGAAAGTTCCAAGTCCAGAAAGCAGCTGAGAGCTCCTCCTGGTTCTCTGGTCCCTGTGCCCTTTGAGCCAGGTGCAGACTTCAGAGCAGAGTCAAAACACAGTGTGGGACTCAGTATCTTCATCTCAGAGGCGCACCAACACTGATTTCATGGTGCAATACCTTGGGTCTCTTTGATCACAGTCAAGATAGCCCCCAATGCACACTATTTATCCACCTCTATCCACATAGTCCATCTTGTTGGAGGTCATCTTCTCTTTTCATTGACTCTCTACCTCTACATTTCCAAGTACAATGTCCCTTTCCAAGGAACAGCCTCTGCTGGTAACATGCCCAAAGTATACGAGACAAATTTTGTTGTCTTTGCCTCTAAGAAACACTCTGATTTTCTCCAAGACGTATCCGTGTGTTCTTCTGGTAGTCCATGGGAGATGCGTTGACTGCAGCAGTGGGCTCAAGTGTGTCAGATGATGAGGATGGTACAAGACAGGACAGGGTTCAGGTCTGTCATTCACAGGGTCACTGTGAGTTGTAATCAACTCGGCAGCGCCTAACAAAATTACCACAAACCACACAGTACAATCGTCTCTCTATAGAAGCTCAGAAGTTGGGCCAGGATGGTTTTTCCTCCTCAATTTGCACGTGAAGAGGTGGACCATCTGTGATGTGATGATTCTAGTTCAGTGGAGGAGGGAGACACAAGGGTATGGAGATGGGGTGGAAAGAGAGTCGTCAGGCCAGGGAGGAACAGCTGTGCTTGGTGGAGTCCGTACCCCAGAGGCCTCGCTTGGGACTTCCCACTGAAAGGCAGGACGAGCTCCTCCCTCTCTGATTCCTCGTCTCAAAAATCTGGACTTGAGTTGGCTGATGGAGGGAAGGAGTACCTGAAATATTACTACCTGCCCATCTCCGATGCTATTGGTGGAAATACTTTTTGGCATGAGCTGTTACATGACTGGACAAGTTGCCTGAGATATTCCTAGTCCTCCTTCCCTTTGGGGGAGGGATAAGGTGTATTCCTTTTCAATGAATGGGATTCAGAAGAAATGGCCTTAAAACACAGCTTCTGAAACATCTGTAGAACCAAAATATCTGTAGAAGGTGTATTCCTTTTCTTTTTTTTTTGTTTTTTTAAATTATTATTAATTTTAATGAAAATTTACAGAGACTTTGGATTTCCATTCATTCATTGTTGCACTTTTCTCCCTGCCCACCCCTCCCCACCTAGTTTGTTCTTCTTTTTGAAAAGTAAAAGAAAAACGATTTCATTGTTATAGAATCCCTCCCCCCAAGTCCAGTCCACTATGCATCCTTCATCCTGGACTCCTGTCATGACAATAATACCTAATCACATATCCCTTTTAAATAGTTCTCTCCCTCATCTGTTTCAATGCAGTTTACATTATTTATCCCCTCTTTCTCAGTCTCCCCCCTACCGCAATGTAAGTCCTGTTTTATAACAGTAGCACTATGCAATATAAGTCCTTTTGTGACTGATATATTTCACTGTACTCTTTTCAATGAATGGCATTCAGAAGAAATGGCCTTAAAACAAAGCTTCTGAAACGTCTGTAGAGCAAGAATAGAAATCAGTAAGGATACATGCTCTTGCGTATCACCCCTGCCCCAAATGGACTTTAATTATTTATAAGGAAGGAGCATAAAATAAACATTGGCCAGTCTATCAAAATTCCCACCCAAGTTCATGATTGCTCTCCATAAATAGCCACAAGTGGGTGAATTGAAGATTCCCTGGGAAAGGCAGAGGTTAGTTGTAGTGAATAGTATAGGATGGGGATGGGCGTGGAGGAAGACGGTGTGGTTACTGAGGTAGATAAACACACACAGTGGCTGACAATGAAAATGTGTTCTCTTTCAGCGTGATTATGACAAGGATGGTCTCGCTGGAGCTTCCAGCCACATAACCACAAAATCGATGGCTGCTCCTCCAAGCTGCACCCTGCACCCACTGCTGGTTCTGGTGGTCACAGCCCTGTCCACTCTGTTACCTTTATCGTTGGCAGGAACATCGTAGCTGCATTTCCAAGGCCACGTGGACGTGTAAAAAAAAAAAAAAAAAAAAGACAAAACCCAAGTTATCTGTTTCCTGTCCTCTTCTATATCTGAAATTCCAGTTCTGGGGCCTCCGTGGAGACACTGCTAAAATGGTTTCATCCAACTGGAATTTTTTTTTTTTTAAAGAAAGCTTCATGTGATACTTTAGGGGCCTCTGTAGAATACTCGCTGCAGTGATGCATTCCACACTCAGAAGGCTTTGGGGCACGTGTGCTCTAAGGGACAGTTTGTTAAATCGATGGTGGTGGTATAAGCTGGGGTAGGATGATAGCACTGATGAGCATGACGAAGTTTCTGACGACTGTGACTCTAGCTTTTCCTAGCTAGATATGGAGCTGGTTGGCATTGCGAAAGAATCTTCCAAATCTCATGCAGTGATATTGATTTCCAGTGACGTAAATAGGAGGCTAACCTGGACACCAAGCGTCTTTGTCACAAAGCAAAGAGTTTTAAGAACAGACTTTGTGAACATAAGTTTGTGCTGGCGCTCCTCTTTCTGTGTGTAGCTAGCGTTTCTCTCGCCCAAGTTGATCACTGTAATCGGTTCCATGCTCTCCAGAAAGCCAAACCCCAACAGAAAACACCCGTCATATCCGACTGTAGTGTCCGTCTTGTAGTCGAAACAGTGCAAGTGGGCTTGGAGCGCGGCTCTGTCTTCGAGTTTGGACGGCACCCCCTTAAGCCTTATCTGAGTGAGAAGCCCCGAGACTGACACACGTCAAATCAAGCCCGAAGCTTTTCTCAATATTATTTACACTTAGGAGGTTCTATGTAGAAACAAAATGAAACAATTTTACTACTAAATGATTTCAACTATTTGGCTTTCTATATTTTGAAAGTAATGATATTGTCTTCATTTTTTTAAACTGATGGTTTAATACAAAAAAAGACAGAGCTTGATTTCATCTCATCTCCAGTGTCCACTCTGCAAATCGGACTGTCCGAAAGCAGCCTCGAGGGGCCTGATGCTGGAGCAGAAGGAACGCCCTTCACCACGTCCCTGTGGACAGACGGGAGGAAACACAGGTGCCCTAGCCTGGTCTTTTGTCAGATCTTGAGATGCGAGTGTACCTATCTTTGTGTGGAAACTGGTGGCCCCTGGCAGGTGTCCTGCAGGGTATAAGGGCACCCTGGTCAGCTTCCCAGGGCCCAGTACCTTAGTTTCCCTACTCCCTGACAAAGACAACACTGCAGCTCAAGTGGGACAAGGTGTGCGCTGCCCTCTCATTCAAAGCGGTCCATCCAGGGTCCTAAGAATTGACACTGCTCCCCACTTTGATGGCGGGGGATGGTTAGAGCAGTTTGTTCTAACAATTCTCACGAATCTGCTTGCCTCGTGTTGCGTGCCTCCACGACAGATGATGAAAACCCTCCGAAAGGAAGAAGGTCAGAGGGTCCAGAGGGTCAGCCTTAGGTGGAGATGGGTTATTGGCTCAGATCCTCACAACAGAAGTGACGCTGATGCCAAGGCTTTGTTAGTGTGTCAGCGAGACACCTCACCTTCCATCCTTCTTTGCCTTAGAGGAATGGACCCGAAAGTGCACTTTGAAGACTGGTTTTAGACAGCAAGATGCAGAAGCTACAAAGACCGTGGGGCAGGGTCACGATTCTCCTAAATTGGATGAAGAACGCTGGGAGCTCTAGCTTTCTTCCCACATCAGTGGAAGGGTCGGAGGGGGGACCTCAGTGCACATTTCATGCTGATCCCCTTAGCCCACCGATGTTTTCCTTGTAAGAATTAATCAAATTACTGAGAGACAAAAGTCTATTCACCCCGAGATAAAGGCATAGTCTTTTAGCTCTGTTGGTGTTTGAAGTGCATTTATATCCAAATGTTAATAAACACACATGTGTAATACTAAGTACCAACTTTATTTTTTTTTCCCCACTTCAAAATGTTTTCAAGGGGATTTCAACGTCTCCATCATCAAACGTCTCCACCCTGTCCCCGACCCTGTATTTGATCAGTTGGAAGTTTCATTAAGACTCTTAGTTTGAATAAACACATTGAGTGTGTTACAATATATGGGATGCTCGCCATCTCTGGGAGCCTGTTTGTGACAGGGCATGTGTTGTTGTGATTAAGGTATCTCTGTGTATCTCCCCTGGACTCATTACGGATGGGTCTGATTCTGTGTGATCCACTGAAGAAAGCTATTGATTTTTTTCCGACACTAAACAGCAGCTCTAATTAGCTTCAGATGACCAGAGAGGAAATGGGAGTTATCAGCACTAACAAGGCTGGTACTCCACGGTGAGCAACACACAAATTAGGCTTTGAAAAGCTTCATCTATCACCAGAAAAGATCTCATTTTTCTTCTGAGCTAAAAGCATATTCGAGTTACTAAATCCTCAATTTGAGAATAAATTGCTTATTAAACAACAGGGGCAGGGGAAGGATGTTTAGCGGTGACACATTAGAGAGATGCTTACAGAACTCTTACAGACACGCATCTCTGCCATTCTTCGGGATGTCGTTATGACACAGTGGCCCAGAACGCCATCATTTACATCAAGATCAGAGGAGCCAAATGATGCCAGTTGTCTGTGTCTGACTTCCTCCTAGAGGAAGAAGAAAGTGAAAGATGGTTCACTACCTGTTCTCAGTCTCTGCTCGTAGAGTATCACCAGATAAGGAGCAACGTGTAAAGGTTTACGTCTTCCATAGAAAACATATCATGATAGTTGAGTTTAATAAACAGTGACTCATGTCCACACAGAACATACCTACCCTGATCAAGCCTCATCATGCCCTGCTAATTTCTAGAGGGAGGGAAAAAGGGAAATGGCAATTTGGTCAAAATTATTAGAAGCACATTCATTCCATTTTGGTGTTGAATTCTCTTTAGCCAACTCTGAGTGACTTTTGAACAGAGCACAGGAAGAGAGAAGCGCACAACAGAGCAGGGTTGTGGGGTGCCAACTGAGCACTTATTTTTCCGTATCAGGGTTTTTCCAAACCTCTAATAGAAGTATGTAAGTTGAAAATCACATAGATTATTTTTCATTAAGTATAGCGAACTATATTCCCAGTGTAAAATGCATGTGGTTTTAGTATTCTTTTTTAAAAGATAATTCTTTATTCTGTCCATTCGAAATGTGTTAAAAGTTGGTTCTTTGTGCGCATAAGGCACAAGATAGGGCTCCTTCTAATGTGCTGTGGCCTGTGACTTGACCTCTATCAAGCCCGGCTTCATCTTAGAAACACTCCACTGATAGGACTCTGCAATTGTGTCCCATTTCCCACGTGCCTTTTTGTACTTGAAACCCACCCCTCCTGGCACTCCATCTGCTGAACTAGGGAGGTGGGAGAATGAACGGAAGCATTTCTGAGTGAGTGTAAAATACTGGGGGGAAAGAGTTATCATAGCAGTGGGAGTTGGTATAATTAGCAAACTCTCTTCTTGGGACCCAGCTTAAAATGCATTTCGGTTATTATTTACAAAAAAGTGTCCTGGGAGAACCTGCCTTTTGGAAAGGAAGTTTTCATTTGTGCAGTCATACATGCAAGGCTCAGCAGAGTCAATAAACCACGGGCCAGAAGGAGTTTGCACTTAAATTCTCACTTTCCACTTCTTTTTTTACTGGACTCCTGCGATCACTGTTACTTCTGCTTCTGCTAACAGATGAGACCTTGTGATCTTTGTTTTTGTGGTTGTCATGAATAAAGATCAAAGGCAGTAGGCATTAGTAACTTAGTCTTGGTCCAGACACACTTAAAGCAGAAGGTCGTTGTGCTGGGCTCAGTGACTTCTGAGAGCTGAAGCTGACCGAAGTTATAGCAAGATGACGCCCACCACAAGTGGAGTGGACCGTGCAGTATGCAGCTTGTTGATCAGAAGAAGCTTCTCCAACCACAAGAGCCACAGCTCTCGGAACTAACAACAGTTTCTTTGCAGTCAGGACACCTCAGCTAATATCTTGGTGCAGGGATTTCTTCTTAGAAAGTCCAACCTGAAATACTGATAACTGGAGACTCCATAGAATGCTCTTAGAAGTTATGTCTGTCCCTTATCCCTAAGCTAGACATATCATGTGTCTCACAAATCTTCACTTTAACAACTTTACTTCTCACATGGCCATTTGTTTTAGTCAGTTGTCTATAGAATTCTCTGTGAGAACCCTTCTCCTAGAAACACACTCTCCTGGGGAAGGCTTACATCTGTGGGTTTCCCTGCTTCTATCCCAGTCTGAAAAGGAGCTCTGATGTTGTACTGCTAATCCAAAGACTGAAAGTTCTAATGCATAGGAGAAAGATAGGTGAGTTCCTCCCATAAAGATCTACAGACTCGGAAACCCAGTGGAGGGGTCACCGTGAGGCAGTCTGTTCCACAGCAGTCGGTAGGTTTTCTCCCGGGTGGAAACCATGGGACATTTTCAAAAGACTAGCTATCTTCTTCGGTTACTGGTTGACTCAGTTCTCCTCTCTGATGTCTCCTACACCTTATCTGTTCTCTTTTGTTCAGTATTTGATAATGTCCCTTCTCATGAATTCTTCATTCTAATCACCCTGAATGCAGTCCTATCCAATTGGACGCCTGCTCCAGCAGATGTCTGCCGTGCGCTTGGTTGTGGCTTTCAGATGAGGCAGAAGATGCTCTCAGGTGCCAGAAGAAGTGAAGGTGGTACTAAATCCTCAAGAATCCGGGTGTCTTGTCTGCTGCATCCTCCTTGGGAACCTCCCTGGAGTGCTCTGGAGCTCTTCTGCTTCTTAGAGATGACACGGGTGGGGGTTCAGCGGGATCCGCCACCTGCACTCCTGATTGCTTTGAGACCCAGCCCAGAGGGGTGGGGACGCCTGCAGCTCCCTTTCAATAAGCTGCCTGCTGAGTGGCACAGCCATGAATAGTCATCAAGGTCTCAGCCCCCTGAGGTCCCCAAGCTCATTTGACCAGCGCAGCTGCAACTTCGGCTGCTTGCCTCTGGCAGGTGCCAATATCGGCAAGTTGTCCCCCTGCCACGAGGAGTTTATTTTCACTCAAGGGGCAGCT